AGAGAGAGAGAGAGAGAGCGAGAGAGAGCGAGAGAGAGAGAGAAAGAGAGAGAGAGAGAGAGAGAGATTAAGATAAAGACAGTTTACTGATTCAGTCAATCAAATCCACAGTATATTTAAGGCCCAATTATATCTAGACCGCTTACTCAAAACTGTCAACATTTAAGCAGTGTATCTCAAAAATCTACCACTCTGATGTCTGATAAGCTGTTCAGGTGTATTTGTCACATCCTGGTGTGGATTCCTATAACTGTAGCTGCTAACCTGGAACTTGTCTAACAGGTTAAAGGTCAGTTCCATAGATCTGATAATAATGAAATAAACAGGGCTAACACCCCAAACAACCCTGCGGTGACTTATCCAACACACGCAAACAAACATGTACAACCAAGGGAGTAACCATGACTTGAACACTGGTGCATTAAATATTAAATGAATTAAATATTTTAAAGGGATTTAAGAAAATAACAAGAATTTATTGTAAAGTAATCCATTTGAACTATCTGCAAATAATATTGTGGTTTAAAATATGCACAGATTCACTTTTCATCATGAGACTGAATTATATGCTAAAAACATATTTGTTAATGTTCCTTGTTTTGTCATATTTAATTATGAAGTCCATGAATCACATAAATGACTGTCTTTATTTTCAATTTAAAACTGAAATTTGACAAAAAAGTTACTTTGCATCACTAGATATTACTGTTGGTCTTTTAACATTTCTTTCACAAAACTATTGCGACTATCATTACCACGTCTGTTGTGGTTATGGCTATGTGTACTATAAACTGGTTAAAGCAGAGTTATGAATTAATTGAAAAATATCAACTATTATATCATTTATTTAAATTCAACATATCATTTAGATACGTTAACTGACATAACCGTAACAAGCCAAAGTTTGCGTATCTGCTTTGCGAGGGAACAGTTGGTTCATCTTGGTCAAAACGATCATGGACGAGTTTATTTTTGTTTCTTTCATCGGAGGTCAAATCTTAGATTGAAAGAACTAGTGCTGTTGACAGCAGTTAAATAATAAAGTGAAAGAGATAAACCACCAAGCCTAACCGACAAGAAGTGAGTCAAGATGACAACACACAGTACTAGTTTCTTCAAAGCTCTTTCATTTACCTCAGGCAAACAAAGTAAAAATAAAGTACTATATTAGTCACAGCACCTCAAAAGGTACATTTTCAATCTTGCATCCAGACGTACACTAAAATCACATTGGATATTAGCATTTTTGCTAATATAGGAAGACAAAAAGCAGGCAAAAGCACGGACATCGATCTCAACTGGATGCTCGACTAAGAAACAAGTGTAACAATTTTTTTAATGTAAAGTCGGCAACACCAAAGCTCCAAAAGTATCAAAAATGTATTTTAAAAAAAGCTTTGGTGTTACCGACTTTACATTTAAAAAATTGCTAATATAGGAAGCTAATATTGCACACTACGTCAAGTAATCTATCATGTATGTGTTTTGTTGACAGAAGAAGATTGAAGGATAAAGAGAGGTCTGTGGTTTTTAATGATACCCGCTGAAGATTATGATCAGCTCAGATGTGCAAGCAGGTAAAGCTGGCTTTAGGCAAACACATGGAGGGGGTTGGTATGACACTAGAGGGAGGATGTTCCAGTACGGCACAGTAGAAAAAAAAAAAAGTACAGCGAGAATGAAGACAGAAATTCCTCTGGTGTCACAATGCCTTTGGCCCTCCCCCTTCCTACGAAAACATCGCTCCTATTTCCCTGAATCCTGTCTGACTCACCAAGCATCACACACTTGCTGGAGTGTGTATCTGCTAATACACGTTACCACACACATCAAATTTGATGGGTTTTTACTTTGTCCTCAGATCAATTGTATCACTACAAATCTAACTTAGGAATGGCAACATCCTCTTTAGGCAAGCCCTAAAACAGGAAATTGTATAAGAAAGGACATCGCATTACATTGAGAAGAGAAATTCTAGCGTAATAGTGCCTTTCTCATTTTACAATTCCAGTGAACCTGCAATAACTGACCAATAAACAACCAATAAAAGTTTAAAGATAAGCTGTATGTGCTTGGAAGAGCATAAAGGGAGAAAAGGAGGGAGTAGAGAAACACAGAAAGGGAAAGGAGGAGCCGGAAATGATTGATCAAAGGGAGCGATGAAGGGAAGACATGGATCAGAGAGGGAAAATCCCTTTCCTCTCCCCTGCAGTGTCCTCAGATTCACATTCCTGTGTGTAAACACAGGAAAAAAAATAATGAATAAAAGGGGAATGTTGGATGAATAAGGAAAGTGACTGAGGGGAAGACTCATGACACAGATGCATGAGCCAAAAACACACTGTAGTGAACTGAAACTAAAGCCTGCATGATTTGGCACAGATGACTGGGCTGAAGCAAAAACTCAAGGACGAGAAAAGACAGGAAAAATAAAAAGTGCACTCAATGCATGCAAAAAAAACATGAATGAGTAGTTGTTTTATACATTTATCTCACACTTATGTCACACAATGCATGTGAAGAAGATTTAAAGAGGACATTTAATGCAAAATAAAGTGTATTTTGTACTATTTATTTATTTATTTAGTCATTTAGCAGACGCTTTTATCCAAAGCGATATACATTATACTATCATTCATAGTTGAATCCTGGATTCATACTATCTATGAAGAATTGCTTGGGTCATGAAAAGTGGGTCTTGCATGCCAGAATGGAACCAGATCTAAATAAGTTTTGCTGAATCCAGTTTAAACCAGCATAAGATGGGTTGCTGGTCTAATCTGGTTTAAGCCTGGCCTGAACAAGCTAGTGCTCAACTGGTTTTAGGTTTATCAGCCACCTGGTCCCAGTCTGACCATCTGAAAAATAACTAAAACCCCTCTAAAACTAGCCAATGGATTAGACTGAGAGCCAAGCCAAGACCAGACAATCAGTTTAGGCTGGTTTTAGTTGTTTAACAAGTTAGTTATTGGTTAACATTAACCAATAGCCAGATCTAAAATGCGAGTTTCATAAAATAATCCTAAATACCTGAAAGATCCAGCTTAAACCAGCCTAAGAAGGCTTTCTGGTCTTAGCCAGTTTAAACTGTTCTCCTAGACTTGCCAAGCTGGTCTTCAACTGGTTTTAAGCTGGTCAGCTGTCTAGTTCCTGCAGCCTGACCATCTGACGAGTGCCCAAAACCCCTCTAAAACTGGCCAATGTATCATTCTGACCAAGCTGGGAGACCAGCTAAGACCAGCAAGCCAATTTATGCTGGTTTTAGTTGTTTTTCTCTAACAAGATAGCTATTTGGCTATTGATTAACATTCACATTAAGTGACATAAGCAAGTTGATAAGAGCATGTTTTTGTATAGGCTTATTAATGAAAAATTACAAATAGCTTTTTTTCTTTGGCGTAA